CCCATGCACACTAAGCAAGACAAATAAGCAAAACATATAAAGTGCAGTATAAAAGGAGGAGTGCACTAGGTAGCACACAATGAACAGCTGGGTGCATGGTGACTTCAAACTCAGTAGGTACAACTTGTGGGCAGGTGCAGCATAGCAGGAGTGGAATAAGAGGGAAAGTTCATAGGTAACACAGAAATGAATCAGGTGATGGAGATGCAGAGGACGCAAACTAGGAGGATGGAGCAGCTGTCTCCATGACAGAGTCTGGAGCTGCAAGAGAAATACGCAGTGCCTTTTTTGACCAAAGCAGAACATTTAGTCAGAGGCCTCCTGTTATCTAGCATCTAACAGCATTATCTGCACACAATCTGCAATCTCTTACACCCTCTCGCTTTGTGTTATACTCCTATTACCAAATAACTGCTGTTGATCTTAGTCTTGATTTCATTTCCTGCTGTGTGTGTGTGTGTGTGTGTGTGTGTGTGTGTGTGTGTGTGTGTGTGTGTGTGTGTGTGTGTGTGTGTGTGTGTGTGTGTGTGTATGTGTGTGTGTGTGTTAGATTAGATAACTATTCCAACATTTCCCGGTCAAAGAATGTCGATCTACCACAGAAAAGTTATAAAACAGTGTCGTTGAAATTCATGATTTTCACTCATGTTTATTTTAAAACAGCAAAGCAACCCCGCACCCACATCAACAGATGAAATTTTGGGTAGGGACAATTATCACCAACCAAATGTTATGAAGAATTTACCCAGAATAGAACAATTTACACTTTGGTAATATTTAATTTTTATACAAAAACACACTTATATGGTTGTAATAACTTCATCCGATTCTTAAGATTTTCTAAAAACTAAAGATAGTTAAAGAAATCACACAATAAGCTTAAAATGGTTATAAAGTCTTAACTATGCAACTGACATACATAGAAATGTAGGTTAAATTATAAAACTCTTACTTTTCTTTACAATTTCCTGACTTAGTCATTGTTTTGTTAAACTAGTAAAGGTATATTATTATACATGTTATTAAACACAAAACAAAAAAACAGCTCTACAACTGTACTATACAAATATGAATAATGCCTGATATAAAATCATTGGGTGACTATCTATCAAAAGTAATATCTTAAGAAAAAGGACTAACAGAAGTCGAGAAATGCAGTTTAAATGGGATAGATGATTGTTTGACATAATGAATACAAGTGAATACATTTAACAATTAATAATGGCAACACATAGGCCAAAAGTAAAAAATGTTTGTGTGTATCTCTGTGTGTGTGTGTGTGTGTGTGTGTGTGTGTGTGTGTGTGTGTGTGTGTGTGTGTGTGTGTGTGTGTGTGTGTGTGTGTGTGTGTGTGTGTGTGTGTGTGTGTGTGTGTGTGTGTGTGTGTGTGTGTGTGTGTGTGCCAGTAGCAACATGGAGACAACCTGTAACACAAGATTCCAACCTATTCCCGTACCTATCCACAATAACCACATTGTGCTCTGAACATACCTTGAGTGTTTGCACATTTTCTTGGCATCATCTTAAAACAGTTTTACTGGAAATGTCTTGTCAAAGTTTAGTAAAGTTATAATAAGATATGTTTATATTTTGGTTATAAAAATGCAAATAAAAGGACAACAAATCAAGACACAGTACATACGTTTATATTGCAAAAGTCTTGTTCCTACATTAGGAATATATATAGTATCCAAAAGCCACTACTCTTAATATTTATCCATTGAACTTCCCCAATCACATTGCTTCTGATACAACCAATAACTAAAAAAGGTTCTGTACAATAAAATAAAAATAAAATGTGATTGTGAATTTTCTTTAACGGACAAACAAATTAAGATGGGGAGTTTCTGTTCAATAAAGAATATATCTGATTTTATCTTGAGTTATTACAGCAGGTGCAGCATAGCAGGAGTGGAATAAGAGGAAAAGTTCATAGAACAAACTAAGTGAAGTCAAAGAACAAGTTAAACAATGGGAGAACAAAGATACAAATTATAAATTAAGAATAAATATAATCAAATCTTTCATTCTTAGCAGGATCCTTTTTCTGGCAAACATTTTCCCCCCACCCACGCAAATAATTATGCAATTAAACAAACAGTGCGTTAATTTGGTGTGGGGTACAACCAGGGAGGTTGCAAAACGGAATTTGTTGTTTAAAAGTAGGGAATATGGAGGCCTGGGAGCCGTAGACCTGGGCATTAAACTACAAATTACCTTTGTAAAAAACATCTCCGCTGCAATACACAGGAAAGCACCTTGGGTTGAGGAGGGAAGAATGGGATGGAACAAAAGAAGAGGCCGCGCTAGAAACGGACCATACCTATACATTTGTGTATGGTGACTTCACAACGGAACTTCAGCATTTAGGGATTGATTGGATCGGACTCCCGAATAGAGTAATTTTTAAAATAGTAAACGATTTTAAATATGGAGGTAATATAATGTACAAAAACCTCACACCTGTCGAAGGCAACAAAGTTTTAAAATTAATAAAATGTAAACAATTATCGGAGAGCATGAGAGACGTGAGGTGGTTGATATCTGTTAACAGACTTGCGGTCAGAGCTGTGGTCTCATGGAGCTGTTATGTCAAAACTAAAACATGCCCCATGATTAACTGTGAGGAAGACGAGACCTTACAGCACCCCCTCATGGACTGCTACAGAGCCGAGGAGGTGTGGTCGCTCCTAAGGGGCATCGGTTTAGTATTCAATGTAAGATATGCCTCCATTATGTTTTGTATTCTGGATGAGGGGATGGGCATAAAGCAAAGGGAACTTTTTCAGATGGTAATTTGTATCGCATGCATGAAAATATGGAAGACAAGGTGTAAAATGATACTGAACCAGAGAGTAATAGGCAGTAACACCATCGTGAAACATATACTTACTGAACTAAGGAGAAGAAAGACCCTGGACAAATCCCAGACTCAGCCATGGGGCATCTTGAGTCTGTGACATAACTGAGCCGCATAAAATAAAACGTGCTCTCCTTATGTTATTTATATATTTATACTTAGTGTGATGTGTGTATTATTAATGTAACTTGTATATATAATGTACTGCCCTAATAATTTAAAATAAAGTTTATTTAAAAAAAAAAAAAACTAAACACCTTGAACCCGCTTCTACCAACACCCCACAGGCTCTTTTAAGAGCCACCCACTTCGAACTAAAGAACATTCCTCTCTTCACCACACCACTACTTAAACGCCCAGAACAGTGATCTCCCCCTTGCACTATATGTATTGAGGTGCACAACGTGCACAACATATAAAATGAGTCATATTACTCCAAGTCACTCAAACTAAAAACACAGGAGGATATTGCCCCTTTTGCTGGATGTCACGTAGTTTCCTCTTTTCAATAAGGCCTCTGTATTAATGTTGCTGAATTCTACTTCACCCAAGTAGCATTCAGTACAATTCTCTGTAAACTTGAGCCACGCATTACACCATGCTATATTTCCATTGTGAATGATGCAAGCCAGTCAGCAGTGAATATCAGGACCAAGTAAAATGTTCATGTATTGAATTGATGTGTATTTCCAAGATGCATTAAAGTATTTTCTTCTTTCAAANTAACTCCTATTACCAAAGAACTGCTGTTTTGATTCGTAGTCTTGAATTTCCTCCCTGCTGTTTGTGTGTGCGTGTGTGTGTATGTGTATATGTGTATGTTGTGGTGTGTGTGTGGGGTGTGTGTGTGCGTGGTGCGTGTGTGTTGCGTGCGTGTGGTGGGTGGGTGTGGTTGGATTATATCAACTATTCCAACATTTCCCAGTCAAAAGAATGTAGATCGTAACCACAAAAAAGTTATAAACAGTGTCGTGAATTCATGATTTTCAAATCATGTTTTTTTAAAATTTTTTAAAACAGCAAAGCAACCCTGCACCACATCAACAGATGAAATTGTCGGTAATGGAACAATTAGCACTGGACCACATTTTACCCATTAAGAAGAATTTACCCAGAAATTGTTAAAATGTTCACTTAATATATACTTATGTTTTATGGTATACAAAACACACTTATTAATGGTTGTTAATAACTCCATCCGAAATCTTAAGATGTTCTAACCAATAAAGACAGTTAAAAAACTTAGCCCCAATAAGGCTTAAAAATGGCTCAAAGAGTTAAAAGTCTTAACCTATGCAAACGACGTATAAAGCACCACAGATCTCTAAACAAATGTCTATCACGCGTCGTTTGCATAGGTAAGACTTATACGTCTTTGAGCGGCATTTTTAAGCTATTGCTGTAATTTTTTAATGTGGTCTTTAGTTGTTAGAAGCATTTAAGAATCGGTATGGATTATCCAACCAATAAAGTTGTTTTTGTATACCATAAAATCAATAATATATAAGTTGGGAAAAGAAACATTTTTTTAACAATTCTGGGTTAAAAAGTTCTCCATAAATTGGGGTTAAAAAGATTGGGTTTTTGGGGGGTCCCCGTGCCCATTACATTGGTTTCCCAGTGTCATTACCGACAATTTCATCTGTTGATGTGGGTGCAGGGTTGCTTTGCTGTTTTAAAAATAAACATGAGTGAAAATCATGAATTTCAACGACACTGTTTTATAACTTTTTTGTGGTAGATCTACATTCTTTGACTGGGAAATGTTGGAATAGTTATATAATCCAACACACACACACACGCACGCACACNTGTATATCAGGCATTATCCATATTTGTATAGTACAGTTGTAGAGTTGTTTTGTGTTTAATAATAATAATAATAATAATAATATACCTGTACTACCAAAGCTTAAGCTTTGGTAGTACAGGTATATTATTATTATTATTATTATTATTAAACACAAAACAACTCTACAACTGTACTATACAAATATGGATAATGCCTGATATACAATCATTTGGTGACTATCTATAAACCTTTTTTTGATGTATTCAAAGTTCATTTGAATGCATTGATGTTATTCTCTCTTAAGTGAATGTGTTTTCATATTGTTTATTGACTTTCTATGCATACGGTTTAATAGCAGGTCTCGATCTTTTGTTTGTCTTCTGTCAGCACTCTTCCGATGATCTGGAACTCCAGCTCGTTCCAGTTGAGCACGTTCCCTGGGGGGAAGTTTAGATGATGCACGTAGTTCTGGATCTCACAGGGGGAGAGGACGTGGTCCCACATGTGGACATCAGACATCATGCCAACAAAAGACTGAGCAATGTCAAACCCTCCACCATGGGAATCCTGGTCCTGTGAAATGAAAAAATGTAAGCCAACAGCTTTGTTCTGCAATGCTAGGTTTTTATGATGTACTGTATAGTTTAAACAGATACAATAAATCACAAGATAGGGATGAGTTGACATTTGTGGGAATGTATTTGCTGACCTTCGAGTCAGATGAGAAAAGCTTTATTAATCTATTGTATGACTATGGTGTTATTCCTCTTATATAACTCTCTGCAAAAAAAGCTAGTCAGCACATTTCCCATAATGCAGAAACATTCCTGTAAGTGCTTTAAACTTTACCTGGCCTAAAACAATTATAATGGGCCCACTGATGTTGGATCCAGCGCTCATGAATCTCCTAGATGAGGGCTGTCCGTCTAACCACATCTGAAACAGTCCAGATCCAGAGTCCCAGGTGGAACAAATTGAGTGCCACGTATTCAGTTTGTAGTCCTGCATTATGAAGTTCATTAGTGTATTCCTGATCCACATTTCAAACACATCAGTTGCAGCTAGCTTAAAAATCGCAAAATCATTGGCAGCAGAAGGTGTGGACAAAGAGAAAAGGGTGATGTCTCTACTACGGAGATCTGAAAAGGACCTGTAGCCAAAACAAAGACATTATCACACATGATGATTTCCATCAGAGACACAGTATGTTCCTTTCGTTGTCATTTCATATTGAACTCTACCTGAAACAGACGGTTACAGCACTCAGAACCTGTCTTGATGTTGTCAGCCTCACATGAGCCGAGTTAGTTTCTTGCGGGAAGGTAAACATTTGACCGGAGAGATCTTTATAAAAGAGAGATATTTCAAATCAGTATATGAAAGTAGGATGAGCAAAAATACATTCAGTTGACAAATTGGATCTGAATGTTTCATAAAAAGATGTTTAGTGAAGTTGAAGCCAACAATCAAATCACTTGAGTAATGTTGAATTTGCGTAATTTAAATAAATGTATGACAAACGAGATGTATTCCTATTGACCTACTGGTAACTTACTCATATGATTGATATATTTTGCCTCATTGTCGCTATTAATATAAATCTAACCTAGTAAGATTAAAAAAAAGTCTAAAGATAACAAACTCCTGTTCTCTAGATCCACTTGCATGTATCTCTCTTGTGATGTTTTATTTAGGTTTTCTCTTTTTTAAAGACCCTGTGAAGTGTGCACCTGTGCATGATCTGTTATGCTAATATGTATAGTAATGACAAAAATTGTCCATTGGAACCCATATCAAAAGATGTTGGAATAGCAACGAATTTGACGAGTTTTGAATTTGCCGGGGAAATCTGCAGTCGACCTTCGCCTTCGTGGGCGTGGCTTGCGATCTACTGCGTGACGTCAGGAGATGGACGCCGCCGCACTGTTTACATTCACCACCGTTCATTTTTTCTCTTTTTCAAAGTCGAATTTCTCAACGTTTTTGAGCTAGTATTTTCCTGGAAAGTGTGTCGGAGTCGACTGGAAGTGATTCCCAAACGAGAAAACCTGACAATGGAGGCGACAGTGAAGAAAGAGGGAGGAAAAACACAGGTGAAACGATGCATTGCCGCTGGCTGTAGTAATGTCAAGTCTGCCGAAGTGGCGATGTTTCTGTTCCCAAAAGATGAAGGTGAGCCTGGCTGGTGTCATTGTTTCGTAGATTCGTTCATTGATCATGATAAATAAAGGCCACTGGTCGATTCGAGAGAGAGAGAAAGAGAGACTGAGAGAGTTACAGGGTTGTCGTTAGCATCTGGTGCTAGCTCGGAGCTAACGGAGATTAGCTGTTTCCACAATAAGGAGAGGGAGAGTCCTCTCCTGTGGGACTGAGAGAGATAACGTCAGCTCAGGGAGGTAAACTGTAGCCTAAGTTATCTCAGTGGGTTTGGTCATCTATGTAAACAAATATTTCCATCTATGTAATATTAGTTGTATAAAATAGGTTAAGAAATCCTTCCAATGTTTTTTGATTATTGAAATATATGTTTCATATGAGTGTTGAGAGCTGTATCCATAAATCTCTTAATGTTGCCCTCAAAGTGCACCAGATTGATCACTTTCCTCATCTATCCTGTCCGAAAAGCTGTCCAAATCAATCATTTCTCTCACACTAGTATCACTTTCCAAAGTCTCCACCATGTTTACAATCACAACTGGGTACATCTTGTGACGTCACAGCCACTATCGTCTGCAACTTCCGTTAGGCTCAGACGGCAAAATTAATACATTCATTCATTCATTAATTATGAAAAATTATTTTAGCCATGAACAGGCACAATGATATGTAAGGAATGAAACTGCCATTTAATTTTGGCGCAAAAAAATGCACTTCACAGGGTCTTTAAATGAAGATGAAATGTTCACCTTGAGGAGTGGCAGCACAGGCTGTGAGCATCAGCAGTAGAAGATACAACGCCATCTAAGACAAAGACAAACAAAACAACATTCTGAAACTTAATGCAATAATAATAATGATAATAATGATAATTCAGTCAAGTTTAAATTCTCTATTTTGGATTGTTCGTCATGCCTTGATCTTACCTTGCATCCTGTGTCAGAGTGATTTGTGCAACACCGTACTGACTTGTGAGTTTTATACTTTTGTTTTTTTTCTGCTTCCTTATGGTGGTTGTTAATTTCATGTTTTTTTCTTTTATCCTTCCTCGTTGGCAATGTATGGTGTTCATAAGGCATATTATACTTATCAAAATAGACTTTGAACCGCTTAGTCACAACCTGAAATCAAAAACAAACTAGAGAAGAAAAGACAGTAAAGAACACAGCCATGAAAACGCCTCATCTCACTTTATAGTAACGATGACAGAAAGCTCACATGGACTAAATCTATGTATTACATGTATTCATCATATCTCTAATAAAAATCGTATCGTGTACATTATTTCATTTTAATATAATACATATATAATTCATGTACATTTCATTCTGTTTAAGGATAACTCTGTACATTTTTGTAAACCTTTTGCGATATTGACTTTGTCTCTCGTCTCAATTTGTGTAAATCCATTTATTTTAGTTCAGTTGTTGAACGTAACTTTTTTGTTATTCTACTTTTGTTTTTTCACCGACAGTATTTGATTAGCTTTTATGAGTGCTTCTTCCTTATTGTGGTTCTTATCTTCATGTTTTTTTCTTTTATGCTTCTTTGTAGGCAATTCATGGTGTTCATAAGGTATATTATACTTATCAAATAGACTTTGAGCTGCTTAGTCACAACTACAAATCAAAAACAAACAAGAGAAGAAAGAACAGTGATGAACACAGCCATGCAAATGTGTACACATATTCATGCTGTTGAGACATTACATCCCATAACTTTGATGACCTGCTGGCTTTTTTCCTGTAGCGTCTAGGTTTATATTTGTGTTTGAGTGAAATTACATAAATAGATGTAAAAAGTTCAAGCAACATGATTTATAATCTTTAAGTTCCAACAACAGAGGACTCTACTGACAGTAAGGCCTTATCTCACTTTATAGTACATCAAGGATAGACTGCTCACATGGACTCAATGATCTTTATAGTGTACATTATTAATATATTAATATATTACACATACCGTATAATCAATGTCCATTTCATTCTGTTTAAGGATAATTCTGCACCTTCTGTAAACTTTTAGCGATTATTTACTTGACTAGCCCTAAAATAGTTTACTGTCAATGTCAATTGTGATTCAGTATATTTTACGTGAGTTAACATTATGGTTAACATTAACATTATTGACTTAGTCTCTATGTCTCTAGTCTCAGTTTATTTTTGCATTCATTTTATATTTGTATTTGCTATAAAGTTGAGTTTTGCACCTAACCTTTTTTTTTTTAATACTTTTTTATTTGCTCTAAGAGTATTGTTTTTTTTAAGTATTTGTATATTGTCAATATACTTCAGTTTATGACTAAATACATGCAAAACTCTCACTACTCCCACTCCTAAACCAAGAGTATTCATACATTTAATTACAAAGACACATGGACATGCAGAAAACCAATTATTTCCAGCTATAACTATTATTATTTAATTTCTTGTGACTCTTGTGGAGTGGTATACATATTGTATGTGTCAGTTTTTATGAATTTAGATGGGTAAATTACTGATAAAAGTTTCCAATTCATGTAGAGAAACGGCAGTCAACTGCAGAGGAATTAACTACAAGTTAATTGCACGCTGTGATAATTGTTGGCCTACATTTCATCAGGAACCTCCTAGTTTAACACAAGAGACTCTTTAGAGTTCATATGCAGAACAAAATACTAAATTGATTCAACAGGAGAATCAAAGTATAGTGTATTCATTACAAAAGCTAATGGGCATCCTAATTTGATGAGGAAATGGTTGTTGTTTTACTTCTGCTAATGATTTGAAGAGGTACAGAAAGGCTGGGGCTGCAGTCGAATAGTCCATTTAGCTTAGGAACCTTCCTAACCGAGTGAAATGACCCGGAAGTCCCTCAGTGGCAGCCATGATAAGTGCCGTTCAAATTCTCTAGAATGATAGGAAAGGAGGTTTCAAACTTCCTTTATAACCTCCTTTAGCTTAGGAACCACTGGACCTCCCTAACCGAAAGGAGAGGAGAAAAAATGCTGCCCCACAATGCCTTGCAGCCGCAGCATTTGACGTCACACAACAGTCGGCCGTTCACGGACACAAACGATTATGACGGAGAAATTATATCATGAAAGTTACGGTGCTTATTAAGCATTTTAAAACGTATGTGGTAAGTTGCCAAAGTGCTTTGTTTTTAACGTTCATCAGTATTATAATCAAAAAGAGAAATATGAACGTTAGTTTTTACTGAAATGATCAAATAAAGTCAACATTTCACTGAGCTGTGTGGGGTTTGTTCAACTTTTAAAAGATGTTTGAATGGTGATATACACAGTGATAGGTGTGAAAGACTAACGTTTATAATAAATACATTTGTATTGATTTTAAGATCTTTTCATAGTTCATCCAATCATACGTATTG